AAAATTATATTTTAGTCTTTCCTCTCCGTAAAAAGACTAGACTTATTGGTTATATGATACCCCATGAATCCTTCAAGTAAAAGATTCTCAATTTTCATTTTTTATTGTATATTTATTTTGAGAGTCCCTCTCTAAAATATCATTGTCTTTTCTCTAAAAATATAGTTACTTAAGCTTTGAAGAGTCCTTTAATTCATTAAATGAGATCTTTTGCAAGTGTCATGCATCAGTCACCAGTCATCTTGGCTAAAAATAATGGATCAGATTGCCAGAACTAAGAGACTAACCGATTATCTAAGACATAATTTTTGCCCCAAAACTACTGAATTTTTTTGGAACATCATAATTGATGTCGTTTGTGAGGAATGGATAAAAAAGTTGTTAATTTCTTTCTAATGACATTTTCAAGTTGTTACATGACACACAACCATGACAAGATTAAGTTAGAGCACTTGATGGATCTACTCGTTACCGCGAGCACTTCTACCCATTTGAAGTTCTAACGACTCGTCAACCAAGTGCAACCTCTTATTCAGGTTGTGTTGGCTGCTCAGGGGAAAAATTAAACTTTACATCTCAAAAGTCTTGACACCCACGACAACCCTAACCTTGGAAGGAATTGACTAGGGGTCTCCCTAGTGCAATAGCACCAATCTTTAAAGGATGGATCAGAGGGCTCCCTAGAGCCCAACAAATCATATTTGAATATATTAACCTCTATAGAAAATAAGTTTATTTTTAAAGTAAAATAATTATCTCTCTAACATATATTTTATATCTACATATCTTTGGTGAGGGCTTTTATACTCTGGCACAATCTCTTTGAAATGGGTTATTTCTAGTGTGACTGCATACTCTTCTTGGAAGGGGTTCTTTTTAGTACAATAGCTCCATCCTCTGTAATCCCAGGATTATGCAAATTCTTGCTCTTTTCTTGTTTGAGTTAACGATGTCTCCACTTCTGGTAATAAGGTAAGTTTCTTTTAAAGGATTATCTCTTCTTCTTTTTAATTTATTTTTCTCATATCTATACTCTTGGCTCTTTTTTGTTTTTTGAACAAAGGTTTCATTCACTTCAAAGAATGGTTTAGAACCTGTGGGATAAGATTGAAGATTTTTCATCAAAAGCTTATTATTTTGTTCAACAACAAGAAAACATTAAATTAGTTCTGAGTACCTTTTGAAATTACATTCTATATATTGTTACTACATGACAATATTTGAGACATGAAAGGTAAAGAATATTTTCTCTAATATTTGGTCTTTTGTGATATTATCACTACATAATTTTAGTTGTGAGATAATTTTTTTTTTTAAAAAAACAGAATTATATTTATTAACCAATTTAAAGTCTTGTAAACTCAGGTGCAACCAATCATAACGAGCTTGAGGAAGTATGGTAAATTTTTGGAAGTCATATATTTCCTTTAGATTTCTCTATAGGACAAAAGAATATTTTATTATGAGATATTCAACTTTCAATCCTTTATGGAGATGGTGACGAATGAAAATCATTATTTTTGTGCACTCCTACGAGGATACATTATTTCTTTGATGGTCTTTCCAATATTCATAGCCTATGAAAAATAATTAGTCATAGAGATATCAAAAGTAGTAAATTCAAGTTTCATTAGATTTGAAATTATATATCTATATAAAAAAAGAAAATAACTTATTAAAAAATCATGAATATAAGGGGAAAAAACAACCTTTTAAGATTGTTATTTATTTAGTTCTTTAGAGATACTAGTTCTTTAAGAACTATATTTAATTTATTTAATTCTTCAAGAATTTACAATACTAGTTCTTTAAAAACTTTAAATCTGATGAATAAAAAGGAAATAAAATTTGCTAAAATAAATTATAGAACCAAATATATTTTATAAAGTATGAACACTAATGAAAAGGGAAAAAAAAATTGAAATTGATACAAGTCATGTAAGAGTGATCAATGGCAATACAATGACCAAAGATTAGTATTGTGGCAATGGCTGAGAAATAACAAACACAGATAAGTTTTTGTGTGCATATATACTTTTTCTTTCTTTCTTTTTTATCATGAAAAAAAATTATATGTTTCAGTTTAGAGTGTCATGATAATAATGTGTTAAAAATAAAGAACAAATAAGAACATAAATATTTAGAATAAATCTTAAAAGAGAAATTCATATCTTTATTATTATGAATTTTTTTCAATCATCAGAATATAAAACAAATAATCTATTTATAAGAGAAAAAAAATGATAACATTAAAAGATATTAGGAAATCCAAGTATCATAAATATCCAAGAGAC